ATATAAGAAAATGATTTAAAGAATTTAAGTAAACCTTTCAAAAAACAATTAAATTCTTGGAAGCTCACTCTCAAAATTTCCTAGTTTTCTATTGATTTTTATTAATTACAGAAGCCTTGAACGGTCATGTCTAGTAAATGAACCCCTCTTCATTCTTTCAAATGAAAAAAATGTTCATGCGGGTAACATATTATTTCAATGACTCTAAGTATTTAGCTGATCCTTCAGCCAATCTCTAAAGGTTATTTTATAAACAGAAGTCTAAAAAATTATTTGAATTCACACAAACGACAGTAATGCTGCAGGAAGTAGTATAACAAGGAATTACTGAAGCAAGAGTAAAAAAACTGCTTACAGAGTAAGACTCAACAGTTATGTTTCACGTTTTATATCCTCAGCGTTAGATAAAGGCGTTAAGGAGCTAGCATTTCCAGGTTCAGAATTAACGCCTGAAAAAGACAGATACTTTTCTGGCTTCTGACGAACACAGCATGTAGAAAGAAAAGATGATCTTTTCAACAAAATTCCAGTCGTCAATTTGAAATCATACGATAAGTAAAAAGAAAAAAAAAAATGTGTCAAAAACAATATAAACTGACTTTCGGGAAGTTGTGCGGAAGTGTATTCATCTAAAAAAGGAAAGTCACAAGAATCAGAAAAACTCACTAGCAGAGCCGTTAAGTGTTGCAATTTGCTCTCCAAGAGCCAAAGACTTTTGCTCGCCAGACGACTGCATATCGTCTGTTTCAATTTTAATTTCTTCTGGTCGACCTAGTGGTAGAAAATGCATTTGGAACAGACAGTTGGAATCAAAAAATTTTGTATTAGTTTAAATCTACAACAAAAAATTGCAAGTAGAAAGTGAACAAATGAGATGCAAGTTACTAAAAAAAACAGCTGCCCTCTAGTTTACCTGAGTAAGAAGAGGAAGGCGCATTTGGTCTGCCAGTGGCCTGATTTATACTACCCGGCTTCACTTTTTGAACTGGTGGACGACGTCTCGGGGCAGCAGGTCTGGGTTTCCTTCAACAAGTATTTTTATTCAAGCAATTTTTCATAAATCCAGCAATAAAATTAAAGGAACCTGTACTTGCAAAGAAGAGGCAGTAAAAGATCAACCATATAACTACTTTTTAGGTACTTTCGGTTTCTCTTCAACTGTTTTAACAGAGTTAGAGTCTGATTCATCGGAAGAGTTGCTTAGCATTTCATACGGTTGTAGCCGATCCAGCAAAAAATTTTTATCCCTCGAAAGTTTCAGCAACTTTCGCTGTAGATTTCTAAGCTCCTCTTGATAACATTCATTCTCCTAAAATTAAATGTATTTGGCAGTTGATGAATTGCTCTGAAACAAACTTATACATTTTCGGAAGTTCTTTTTCACGAATCAACGATCTTTTTACTTGAAGTTTTACAAAATCCTCACATAGACTAGGTATTTGAAGCGGCTTTTCAGCTGTCGATATCTCTCTTTGGGAGTCAGATGTTCATTTTGAGGCTTCTGCTGCAGACCGTTTGTAGATGGCTGTATTCTTTCATTGTCAGCCACAGGATACTGTGTAGAAGAAATGACGTGCATTTGTGGGTTAGTTTGAAGCGGAGTGGGATCTGGAGGGCGTACAAAAGCAACAGGAGCAGAAACTTGCATATTTGGCATTGGAAGTGGAGAAGGGTTCTGTTGAGGTATACTAACCATCCTTACGGGTCCTGGGGTCGGAGATGCAGCCAATGGAGAAGGTGCCATGCTAGACGGATGGATAGGTGTCGCTGGTTGTGAAGACTGCGGTGAAGCATACGATGATGAGCTACGGTATTGACCAGGCAGTGGACCCATGACGTGACTTACAGAGGGTAAAGATTGCTGAGCCATCGACTGCCCCCCTATCCTTATTCCTATTTGGGGATCTCCGCTAATGGTTTCACGCATGACTTAAAAAATAACTGTTGATTGATTAAGCTGAGTTCAGAAAATTCTAAACATATTCTCCACTCGAAACGAAATAAAATATACAAAAGAATGCGTACGTACATAAACAGAATTACCAATTTTTCAAGAGCTACTTTAAAGAACACTTTGTTCAGGTAAATCAAAAAAGAAAAACAAATGAATTCAAAAAATAATGCTCCACCTTCACAACAAAGTAACTTGTAGCCCATAACAGCTTCAAATAGTTTTCTTTGAAACAGCGGAAGTGCAAGATAAAAGTGGTAAAATACAAATCGTCTCAT